CTCTCTCTCTCTGTCTCTCTCTGATCAAACTGGAAAATAATAATGATAATAATAAATAAGATTAAATAAAATAATTCTTTTTTTAAAAATAATATTTATTTAATACCATTGTGGTTTTTTGTTTGTTTTTTAATTTGAGCAGACGGAGACAGAGAGAGAAAGGGAAAGCAAGAAAGGAAGCCAGGTCTGGGACTTGAACTGTGGTTGGCCATGTGGGAATCCAGTGCCTTTCATCACCACGCTACCCGCCGGCCCCCAACAATGGAAACACGTCTAAAACCAAACCCCTCTGTGTACTTTCCACCACTACCACCACCACCAAGGCCCCAGAGCTTAAGTGCCAGGTGTGAAGCCCACCAAGTCCAAGTGTTCAGAGTGTCCGTAGACGTGGCATGCAGTCCCCGCAAGTAAAGTCAGGGACTTGAGGAGGACGAAGGCAATGGTGCTGCGTGCTTTCCCGTGTGACCTCCTGGGGGCCATCCCAAATGACCCACTTGCCGACCTCCAGTGGGCCCTTCCCAAGCACAGACAAGTGAAGGCTTCCTGCTGCCTTTTAGGGCGCTGTCTTGGGGCCTGGGGGCAGGTAGCTGTCAGGTCACCTCTGACGTGGACGGTCAGCACCCGCTCCTGCCCACGAGAATGAGCCTTGGCTCCTTGCTGCGATTCTTGGCCTGTCCCCCTCGCGCTTCCAGCCAGGACCTCGTGCGAGTTGGGCGTTGTTGGAAACCCTTTCCGTTGCCTATGCGGCTGACTTTCCCTGCCTCATGCTCTAGATAAGAAGGGATTTGCCGAGGGCAGGAGGAACTGGAAGGTCTTTCTTTTTTGGAGAGAATTTTGCTATGAAAGACAGAGACAGAGAGACAGAAAGCGAGAAATCACCCCCAGGGGGGATGGCCACACCGCAATCCCTTCTCCTCCATTCTCCTCTCGGGATCTTGGGCACGCACGCACACATACCCAGCGTGAGTTTAAGCCACCGGTTTCAGGACTCGACTACATGGGTGTCCAGTGACATAGCCATTACGCTAACTGCTGGTCCCATGTACATCATTTTAAACAGAGAATTTTATATTCTTAGGTCTGTTAAGTGCTCCCTCTGTTTGCCTCTCCCACCTAGCCTCTACCATCCACTCTTTGGTATCCTGTAGATGACACTCTTATATCTGTTAAAAGAGTCACTCACCTTTCCTACTTTCATATTCTCAGATCTGAGTGTACACATTCCGTATGTATTGAGTGGGGATATACAGTGCTCGTCCTGCAGAGCCTGGCTTGCTTCACTCAGCAGTAGGTCTTCCATACTCAACCACTTTGAGACACATGACAAGTGTCTCTTTGTTCCTTACGGATGAATAGTACTTCGTAGTGTACATGTGCCACTATTTTTCAACCCAGTCGTCAGTTCTTGGGCACTTCTGTTGATTCCGTGTCTTCGTAATTGCAAATAATGCTGTGATAAGCATGCAAGGGCGAGTGTCCTCCTGACCCAGTGCTCTCCTGTCCTGTGGGTAAGTACCCCGTTACTTTGTCACTTTGCTGTTTGCATAGTGCAGCTGCTGACGATGTTTCAATGTGGTTCGTTGTTTTTACTTTTCCATTTTGTAATGCTGATGTCTTGACACGGTTCATTCCTAACTCTGCGCTTCGTCTGTCTCTTTGTGTTTTAACAGGACGAGGGCTCAGAGGACTGGACGTGCTCAGACAGCGGTGTTCTTCTTCCCAGTTCTTGATCCCTGGTCCTGTCTCCAGCCCGTCTCGGCTTATCCACTTTGACTCCTTTGAGCCGTTTGGAGGGGCGGTTTCTGGTAGTTGTGGCTTTTATGCTTTCAAAGAATTCCTTCAGTCCAGAGAGTTACTCCTGGCGCCCCTGCGTGTCACCCCTGGGTGACCGCGGCAGTATGTCCTCTGGGTGCACTCACTGCTTACCGTCGCTTCAGTCACTAATCACTTTCTGGTTTGAAAGATGCAGTGGTTCCTCCCTCTCCTGACTCCTTTCCTACCCCACGCCCTGCTCCCCGTGCAGCCACACTGGAGCACGCTCTTTTCCGATTGGCTCTCGTCACTGGCATCTCACTCGATGATAGGGAAGGCCACTACCTAGGGCACTTTACGTCAGTGACAGCCCCGTATTTGCACTTCACCTTCCGGCCGTAGCGTCTGCCCGGAGCAGGCGCTCGAGGAGACAGCGTGGAAGCCGTTGCAGTCCGCTGCAGGTGCTTCTGTCTCAGAGCCTTTGGGGAGCGCTGGCCAGCATCTTCCCTCATGTTAGTCACTAACATGTTCAAGGCAGGTGCTGTCTGCCAGCTCTTCGGAAAGTCAGTCATGTTTCTAATTGAAAAGCAGGCCCGCCCCCGGCAGTGTCATCGTGTAGATTTGCTGTGGTTACCCGTACCATGTATAGAGGAATGACACCTGCCGAAACGCGCTCCCTGCAGGACGTAGTGCTCACAAGGCCCACCAGAAAGATGGCGAGTGGCAGCTCCGCCCAGCCCGTGGGCACAGTGCACAGGCAGGGCCGGGCTGAGCGGTTTCTGGAGGAGCCGCAGGCCAACCAGGCCGGGGCTCCACCGCGGGGCACACGTGCCCCCAAGCTACTTCTCGCTGTGTGTGGTCCCCGAGCCACATTCAGCCCGAGGGTGGAGCGGAGAGGAACACACTGCATCTTTAAATGAGAAAGTGTACGATTTTTTCCTTCTACAGCATGTCAGCATCCCGAGTCCATTTCTCAACCTACAATATAGCAGTTTGTAACGAGCCTTCCTGAGCTCACATGAAGCACCGTTCTGTCGTCAAGTACTCTTAAACATTTCTGCGCCTGCTGAGCTCAGGCGCTCAGAAAGGCTAGCACTCAGTCACGTTCGGAGCGCCGTCCGTACCTCCCCGGTCTCTAAGTACTCGTCCCTGCCGCTGTGTGCTGTGGAGCTGACTCGGGGTTCTGGACTCCCCACTGCTCTCTGTGCTGAGAAATTTGCCTTGTTCAATAATTACTGTACCCTCGCATGACTGTTACAGCTTTCTGTGCAGAGATGACTGTCCAAGTGCCACATGCCTATGATTGAAACGAAAAATCTCTCGTGACCTCTGAGCTGTGTTCCACGGAAACGCTGTCCAGCAGCTCATTTAGGAAAGAGCACTTCTATTTTTAGCTTTTCGTTTCTCGGCTGTCCTTTTCTTCTCGTTTGATTTCTGACAGCAGTGGAGAATGGTTCGATAGAGACTGCCTGCTAACGTGAACAGAAATGCACTTGTAATTCCTGGAAATAAACGTACATCTCCTACCTTCACATTCACGTTAAGGTTCAGTGTTCATTTCCTCTGGAGCGGCGTGTCCGAGTGGGCACACAGGTCCAGCTGGTGCGCAGAACAGAAACGTCCCGGGCCTCACCCGCCACCCGGGCAATGCCCTGGCGCTTGGACTCTCCCGAGGTGACTTAGGTGTTTCTGTAGGGTCTTTTTCCCCTCACACACCAGAGAGGCATTCTGACATGTTCCTTGATTCAAATCATAGGTCTCAATTATTCTGTCAAACCCTGATGGAGAGGCCCACACAGCTCAGGTGAGATTAAAAAGGGCCTGCCCTCATGCCCCTGAGCTGCAGCTGGGCCCAGCATGGGCAGGGCTGCACGGCTCCACGAGGCCACAGCCCTGCCCAGAGAGCCGCGTGCACACAGCTCACGTGGCCGGAGAACAGTGGCTGGCTCATGCTAAGGAACCAGGGCCGCATCTCGGTTCTCGCCCTGAGTGGCAGGCTGTCACACGCCATACCCAGTGCGGCCAGGGCAAGCCCACCGCGTTGGCAGGGTGTGGAGATTTGACTGTTATTTGATACATCGATAAGTCAGTTTTACTTTTAAAAAGAGCATTCACGGTTTTATCGCTCTCGTTTCTTTGTACTTTTTAAATGGAACGTTAGAATTATTATGAGGTTCATTTGCAATCCTTTCTAAATAGAACACCATTAGTCTTGGCTACTAACATCTGAGGACTGAGCCCTTTTCCACCCCCCCTTCCTGGTACTGTGGGGTCAGGTTGGCATGAAAGCACTAACCACATCCTAGAATCACCCTAGGCGTAAGTCACGTAGTTGTGTGCTTTTTATTAACCACGCCGAACGTAATCTAACAGATCAGCATTGTCCTAACTAAGGTACATGTGTAATAGACTCACCATTTTGGCTTTTCCTACATCTCTACAAATGTACAGATGAGGCCACCCAGACTCACGTTGGTGATCCCAGACGCCTCTACCGTAAGTGTGCTCAGACAGGCTTTCAAACTAATGGCTCTTTTGGTGTCTAAAATGTAAGCAAAAAAATTCCTGTTGAAACATTCCAGTCCTTTCACTTAGTAGGAAACAAATCCAGGCCAGTGGGCTGGGTCTGAGAGAAGGCATCGCGAGGACTCTGTCCCGACAGACACACACAGACCCCTGCGGTGTCCGGGTGGAAGAGGGCCGTCGCGCTGTGAGTGCAGCATGGCGCACGGTGTGTTCACACTCACTCCGTCGGCCTTCGGGCACGGGCAGCGGGCGTGGAGTCACTGTTAGCTTTGAGAAACACGTGGCTCGCCAGTGGTTGTCCCCAAGGAATCCCAGAGGTGCACTTGCCCACGCTGCAGGCCACACCCCATCCAGACCATTGGGAGGGACTGTTTTACCTTCATTTGCTTCTAGGTTAATATGGTTTTAAATTTATATAGTCTGGTAACAGTATGCTCATACACACACATGTGCACACGTGCTTTTGGGTCCTTCCATGACACTTTTATATTTGTAAATCAATGTTTCGGAGTAATCCCAAGATTAAGGGACATATTTTTGTAAATGTAGTGGTTTTGAAAATCCAAGCGATCCTCTCCGCTTACACACTTTTAAAGCCCACGTGCTTTAAAACTGTTACGCTGGCGTTTGAGACATGACACTCCCATAGTGCAGATGAGAAGCATGCAGCAGTGGAGTAAATGCGTGGTTTCTCGTACCGTCACCCACCTTGACCTGATGGGTCGGGAGCGACTGGGACTCCCCAGCGCAGTCCCGAGGGTCGCACCAGGCTCCCTTCAAGCTCGTTGCCTTCTTCGTGCCGTAGATCCGTGTCGAGCACCCGAGAGCGTTCTGAAACTGCTTTGTACCTGCTTTGTACTGTTGGTGCCTTCTCGGTATTGTACCCCAACACTCTGCATAGGTTACTTAGTATAATGGTAAGTTAAAAAAACAAATGTTAAAGGAAGATTTTATTAAGAATCTGAATGTTTATTCATTTTATTGTTACAATTTAACATTTATTTGTGGTGTTTGTGATTTGGTTAATCTGTATAAAAATTGTAAGTAGAAAGGTTTATATTTCATCTTAATTCTTTTGATGTTGTAAACGTACTTTTTAAAAGATGGATTATTTGAATGTTTATGGCACCTGACTTGTAAAAAAAAAACCTACAAAAAAAAAAAAACCTTAGAATCATTAAATCGTGTCTCTGTATTACCAAAATAACACAATACTGTGCATGTATAGTTTAATCATAGTTCCACATGTGAAAGCACGACATCATCTCAGCTCTTTATTTTTTTGGGAGAGGTTTTTTTGCTGTAGGGTGCATGCGCTTGCCAGAAAGACAGAGACAGAAAGCGAGAAATCACCCCCCAGGGGGGATGGCCACACTGCAATCCCTTCTCCTCCATTCTCCTCTCGGGATCTTAGGCACACACACACACACACACCTGGCGTGAGTTTAAGCCACCGGGTCTGGGACTTGAACCGCAGTCAACTACATGGGCGTCCAGAGACATAGCCATTACGCTAACTGCTGGTCCCATCTTAGCTCTTTAATGATGAGCTTCCAAAGCAAATGCGACTTTGCCTGTAGGATCAGCAGTTAGTGATAGAATCAAGCTTGTCTTCTGGAGAACGCGGTGGGGCTTCAGGTGGTTTTTCCAACCTTTGGGGACAGAAGAGGAAGAAGGGCAGTGCCTGATCCACCCCCTCGTCCTCTCAGGCTTCAGCCACTCCTCTGCAGGGGCAGATGGCACGGGCAGCCCTTTATTTGCAGATCAAGACATCACGGTGACGTTCGGGCCCCTTGGACACTTGGCTCTCCTAGTGTGGGGCACCACGCAGTGGCCCGTCTATAAGGCAGAGCAGTCGGGAAGCGGGTTCGACACGGCAGGGCAGAAAGCACAGGCTTCAGGCCCACGGCACGGGTCAGAACTGCCCTCTGCTTGTAACTGCACTGGGGTGGGCAGACCTTCAGACGGTCAGCTGCAAAGCGGACCTGACATTTCTGGCCTTGCGAGTGGTAACAGTTACGAAAGGGTATCTCAGGTGTCGAGCAAGTCCTCAGTGAGCAGCAGTCTCCCTCGCTGCTGCTTTATTTTATTAAGTTCTGTGTCCGGTGTCACAGGAGCGTCTGCGAACTCAAGTGCCTGCCTCGTGTGAGTGCGAGCAAAGCCTGTCCGGAGCTCTCTCCGGGGAAACGAGCTGATCCAGCCTGGACTGGAAGGTTCGATGGTGGACATCAGGAAGCCCGTGGCAGGATTTGCTTTCTCCCTGAACACTCTTTGTTGCTATCCGAGCTTACAGAAAGCAATTCGGATAACATGTCCAGGGAGCAGCAGATGGCATAGTGGTTATGTCGCTAGACTCCCATGTGGCCGGCTGCAGTTCGAGTCCCAGACCCGGTGACTTGAAACACACACCAGGCACGTGTGTGTGCGTTCCCAGGATCCCGAGAGAAAGGGGAAGAAGGGGTTATGGCGTGGCCATGCCCCCAGGGAGTGATTTCTCACTTGTCTCCGTCTCTAGGGCAAGCACATGCACTCTATAGCAAAAATCTCTCTTAAAATGAAAACATGCTCCTTATTCGCCCCAGGAGCCTGATAGTCCCACCCATCTCCCACGGGGGGTGGCGGGGGGGGGTGTGTGGCCCTCATCCCAGCCCTGGTACAGTCATCCTGGTGGCACTGAGCCTTCCGTCTGGGCTGTCCGCTTCCCCGAATTTAATTCAAGCTGGAGTGGAGCTGAGCAGCAGGCCACGCTGGGCTGAAAGGAGCAGAAAGCAAGCCCCCGGCCACGAGCGTCACAGAGCTCATGAGGCAAGGTGCAGGTCCCCTGCAGATGAGATTACCGGGCTCCTGGGCCGTGACAGGAGGGCCAGGGCTCCAGTCCCTGAGCGGTAAGGGATATGTCTCCATGGGCACAGGCTCGCAAGTCCGAGGAGAGCCAGCGGAGTGAGAGAGGAGGGGTGTGCGGACATCACAATGCTGGGCCCTGCAGGGCTGAGGGCCGAGGGCCAGGCAGAGAGGAGGGGAGGACATGGCTGTTTCTGAGTGATGACAAGGATGTCTGAAGACAGTTGTCCAGGCGTCAGGGAGGAAATGGAGGGAGGCGATGCCCATACTGTCTTTTTCAGATGAGGTGGGAGACACAGTCTCTCAGAGGCTGAGGAAGGGACACAGACTCGGAAATAGGACTCCCTGTACTGTGAAGGCCTGTGGTGACATGCTAGGGTGCTGTCCTGTGGGTGCACGAGCCAGACTAGGCAGGGGGCAGAGGACCAGGGAGTGAGGGACCAGCACAGGCTGCTGCTCTGAGCAGGTGCCATGGCCACATCCTCTGAAAATGGACGTCTCTTGACCTGATGGGCCGGAGCGTCTGTGCTGAGCAGAGAAGGAGTGTTGGGGGACACCGAGACCTGTATGTTGGGTATGTCACCCTCACGGCTAGTGACATTTTGCAGGGAGGTGGCAGTAATGAGGGAGAGTGTCTCCCCGATGGGAGAGATTGATCCTGATCCTGATCCTGGGGATGCTCTTGCTGACTTTGATCTGCAGTCAGGTCAGTTTTGCAAACAATGGCTTCCTGCAGCGAGGCACACCAAGGACAGCCCCTGGAGCTGCAGGTCTCAGGAGGGAGACCTCGGAGTAGCCCAGAAGACTGAGTAGCCCAGAAGACTGACGTCTGATAACTCCGGGTACTGTCTGGGGGGCCTCAAATGTGTGCTTTGAAAAGCTGGCTGGTGGGACCAGCAGTTAGCGTAACAGCTATGTCGCTGGACTCCCACGTAGTCGACCGCGGTTCGCGTCCCGGACCCGGTGGCTTAAACTCACGCCAGGCGCGTGTGCGTGTGTGCCCAAGATCCCAAGAGGAGAATGGAGGAGAAGGGATTGCGGTGAGGCCATCCCCCCTGGGGGGTGATTTCTCGCTTTCTGTCTCTATGTCTGTCTGGTGAGCGCACGTGCCCTGTAGCGAAAAACCTCTCCAAAAAAAAAGAAAAGCTGGCTGGTTACAGCCAGAGGGTGC